GCTAGATCTACCTTTTCTATCTGTTGGTACCTGCTCTTGGGTTCTTGTAGGGCTTTGCTCGTGAAATAAACGGGTTTCTGCCCGTCGGTGGTCTCACGGATGAGAGCCGCGCTGACGGCTTCGTTTGAGACGGACAAGTATAGGAATAGTGGCTCCCCGTCGACTGGTCGAGATAGCACGGGTGGTTGAGATATACTTTGTTTTAGGTGGCGCAGTGCCCGTTCACATTCTTCGGTCCATTCGAAGACTGCTTCTTTGCGAAGGAGTCTGAAGAAGGGGAGGGCGTGTTGAGCGGACCTTACGACGAAGCGGGACAATGACATGAGCATGTCGTTCATGACTTGTATAGATTTCTTCGACGTCGGGGTCGGGAGGTCGGAGAATGCTCGACACTTGTCGGGGTTGGCTTCAATTCCTCGTTCTGTTAGGTAGAATCCGAGGAATTTCCGCGCCTTGACTCCGAACGTGCATTTTTCGGGGTTGAATCTCATCTTACATTGTCTTGCTTGGGCAAAGACTGCCTTGATGTGTGCTGTATGATCGGTGTCTGCTCGAGATTTGATGATCATGTCATCCATGTAGACCTCGAGCATGTCTCCAATTTGCTTGTGGAACACCCTGTTCATCATACGTTGGTAAGTTGCCCCGACATTTTTTAGTCCAAAAGGCATTACGTTGTAGTAATAATTGTCCGAGCTGGACATGAAAGCCGTGCAATGTTTGTCGCCCATGGCCATTGGGATTTGGTTATAGCCCGAGTAGGCATCCATAAACGACAATGTTTTGTAGCTGGCCGAGTTGTCGACCAGCATATCTATGTTCGGTAAAGGGAAAGCATCTTTCGGGCAAGCCCGGTTGAGATCGATATAGTCAACACACATCCTCCATTTTCCATTATTATTTTTAACTAGTACAACGTTTGAAAGCCAGGTTGAATACCGGGCTTCAGAAATAAAATTTGCCTCTAGGAGGTCTTTTACAGCTTTTTCAGCAGCCTCCGTTTTCTCCGGAGACTGCCTACGCCTATGTTGTACTACGGCCTTAGCGGTAGGATCTATGGTGAGACGGTGACATGCGACCTCGGGGTCGAGTCCGGGCATTTCCGCGACGCTCCAAGCGAACAGGTCAGCATTCTCGCACAAGCAGGCCTTGATCTGTTTCCTCGCCAGGTCGGGGAGGTCGATGCCAATCTTCACTCCCTTGCTCGGGTCTGCGCCGAGGGTGACGAGCTCAAAGTCCCCGTCCGGGATTGGTCAGAGGGGAATTTGCTCGTCGTTGGGAGGTTCGTCCTGATTGAAACGAGCATCCAGAGCTATGGAGTCGACCTTTGGTGGAGCTCTCTGGACTTCCTCTTTGGCAGGCTCTGGCTTGTCGGGTTCCTGTCGCGTTGTCGCCGGTCTCTTGGCGGGCCGTGTCCCGATGTCGACGGTATCGCGTCCCTTGGATGCGGCGTTAAAACACCTCCGAGCAGCGGCTAGGTCCCCCTGGATGGTAGCTACCCGTGCCCTCTTGGTGTAGAACTTCATCTTCAAGTGGACGGTGGAGGGTACCGCTATCAGTTCTGCCAGTGTTGGTCTCCTCAGGATACAGTTGTAGAGCGACGGGCAGTCGATGAGGAGGAAGCGTACTTTAACCTGTCTTGTCGCTGTGCCTTCGCCGAAGGTAACCATGAGCTCGACATATCCCCAAGGCTTGGAGGTCGAGCCGTTGAAGCCCTGTAAGTCTGAACCTACATATGGCGAGAGATGTGAGTCGTCCAGCTGTAGAGTCCGGAATAATTAGTTGTACATTACGTCGACGAGGATGCGGTGGACATCAAAGTTAGCCATTCTTGCCCTTATCAACATGGGAATGACTGCGTTGGAGGCTCCTCCGGGGAGCTCTTCCAGGTAAAAGGTGATAGGCTCCGACCTACCTTTTACCCTCTCAAAGGTCACTGTTTGCGGAGGTGCCGCGTCTACCAGTTCATCCAGCTTCCTTTTAGCCGAGTTGATAGTCAGGTCGTTGAATCCTCCACCATTGATGATCATGGCGGAGGGAAAGTACTCCCATCTGCTGTGGGTCGTGAGCGGCTCCTGCAGGTGCTCGGGGATGTAGAAGTCCTCGGGTCTGGTGACGGAGAAGGCGGTCTGGACGGGGACCGACTCGTCAGATGGTCGGGCGTCTTCCTCCAGTTCTCTTGCATCTTGGGCGACACGACGAGGAGAGTTGTTTCGCCAGTATTGGGCGAGCCTCCCTCCCTTGATGAGGGTTTCGATGGCATCCTTGAGGTGGACGCAATCTTCAGTCAGATGATCATGGCTCCTGTGGTACTGACAGTACTTGCTCTTGTCTGCTTCGGGCTTGGCGGGAGCAGGTCAGGGGCGTTTGACGCCGCCGTCTTTAAAGTTTGTGCTGGCACACTCTGCCAATATGCGCTCGCGGGAAGCTGTGAGCGGAGTGTATTCGGTAAAACTCCACGAGGGTCCTCTTTGGTCTCGGACTTCTCGGGTTCTGTCCTCTTTTCTTTTCTCTCCGGTTCGTCGAAGAGGAGCAGCTTCTTGGCGCGGGTTGCTGCTGGATCCGCGAGTCCTGGGGTCCCGGGCTCTGTTGGCCGCCTCTCTTTCTTCGTAATCCATGTACGCCCGGGCCTTCTCGAGGAGGGCATCGAACGTTCTAGGTGGCTCGATGCCCACTGCCTTTCTGAATTCTGTTCCGGGGAGGATCCCTCTCTCCAGCAGGTACCTCTTCATGTGGTCCGCGCAGGGGACTTGTATGGCTTCACGATTGAAGCGATTAATAAACTCTCTCAAGGTTTCATCCTGTCTCTGGATGATGGCTTCGAGAGCCGCCTCGGTCTTTGGGTGTCGCCGAGACGCAGTGAACGAACTTATGAATTACTTCTTTAGGTTTCGCCACGAGGTGATTGATCCCGGAGCGAGGCCTTTATACCAATCCATTGCTGCCTTTCTAAGGGTTGTGGGGAACAACCGGCATTTGATGGGTCCCTCAACGTTGTGATAGTGCAGCATGGCTTCGAACCCGTCTATGTGGTCGACCGGGTCCGCGACTCCATCGTATTCCTTCAGATGTGGAGGCTTCTCCATGCCCGGGGGAATGGGCGCCTCCATGATGGCTTGTGACAGGGGACCGCGGGGGTCGTCCTCGTCACTTCGCTCCGGGGACAGGGATGGGGACCTGTAATATTGTCGAGCCCGACGGTCCTAGTCGTGTTGGGCGTCTCTCGAGCGAGGTGCTCGTTGGTTGATTCTTCCATGCCCGTCTCCGGAGCTCCTTCTTTCTTGTCGTGCGGGGGCGTGGTCGCGTCCCCCGACTTCAATGATGGGTTGCCTCTCCAAAGGGGGTCGTCTCCCCGAGGGTCGGGGTGACGGGCTTCGGGAGGTGTCTCTGTAGTGTCTCCACGGGGGAGACGGGAGATGTACCTTTGTTACTCGGGGAGGTGGAGTTTGGGGCCTCCTGTGTCTCCTCGCAGGTCTTCGATCGTCTTCTAGTGCCCTCAATCTTTCCCCTTGGGAGAAGATGAGGTAATTCATCTGATTGATCGCCGCGAACAGCGCGCGGGTTGTGGCATCTGCCCCTGCGGGGACAGGAACTTCCTGAAATTGGGCAGCTCGATAGTTTGTGGGAGCTGCGTTGTCTTCTTCGAGCGGCGGAGGGACTGAAGAGGATGATGCAGTAACTCCATCGCAGTGGACTAAGGGCCCGGGGTTGGCGCCCCCGAGAAGTGTGTTATGACCGGGGTTACCGGCGTTGTCGGTGAGTCCATTCTTATCTGTAAGGCCGTTGTTGGTGTCGATGACGCGGATGTTTTGTTCATCACGAACTTGGTCAGCCATGACGGTAGGGGTGATTTGAGCTTTGGTCTTCGAGGTTTTGCAAGACGGGGAAGCTAGGTTCCCACAGACAGCGCCACTGATCTCACCGGATCAGACTTGGACCGTTACGACTGACTCCGAGCGAAAGTTGAACGAGGTGGGAGTACCTGCAAGGCACTCCAATGCTAAAGTGAGTGATGATACGAGCAGACAAAAAATGTGTGTATGGATAAAAGAATGAATATCTGACCCTCTAAGAATAGAGGGTATTTATAGCCCCCAGCGCAGGGCCAAGGTCCCCTCATTGGACCGACTAAGACTGGCCCAATAAAGGAACTGCCAGGTTCTACGTGTGTAGTGGGGACCCGCACGTGGTCCCCTTCCTGGTGATGCTCTGCGAGAAGTACGGAGGGACGAGGACGCGGTCTTTTCAGAGTTCAAGTGATGGAGTAACGGTCATAGTCTGCCCTACGAGGAGGGTGCTCGAGCTGGGCTCGAGCTGAATTTCATGTGGTCGGGGACGTAATGTTCGCGGGCAACGGCGGGCACGACTGCGGCTTCTGATCGATGCGCTGGCGGGAGTCTTCAGACGCGCGCTCCTTGAAGAGTTGTTTGGATTGAGCCTTCGTTCTTGCTCTTGGACCAGGGCGGACCCAATCCAGAACAGTATATATATTTGAAAACCCATTTTTTATATAAAAAAAAAAAAAGATTTATAGATATACATCTCTAAATAAATACTTTTTCTTTACAAAAATAAATTACATTTGTATGTATAGCTAAATGGTATTTTTGAATTTTAAAAGATTTATTTCATCTCTATAAAAGTGAACTAAAAAATTCTCATTTAGTGATAGTAACAACGATTACTTTAAAATCATTGATTAAATCTGCATTAAATCTTATCGGTTAATAAAATAAAATAAACACTACATAAAGACTATCCATCCTGCTGAAGAGAGGTGATTATAGGTTAAAACTACCTTGAATCAGAATCTTTTGTTTTAAATATTTTTTCCTTCTATACCTCGCTTTTGTTTTCTTTTTCTGATGAAGCAAATAAAGTTTAAAAGACTTGTTATGCAAAAATTAAGAAACAAAATTCAACATTTATTTCACAAAATTCAAAATATAAAATCGTAAGTTATTTATATAAATATCTCCCCGCCTTAATAATCATCATCTTCAACTTATTGTACACCCGGGCGCTTCTTCCTCGTGCATGTATTCATGGTGGTGATGGCCCGCGTAACAAGGCCCACTCCATCCATAGCTATCATATATGGGCCTCCCATATACTTCTGCAGGCCCACCTTGTCCAGGCCCATAAAAATATCCATAAGGAACAACCGGCGAAGGATATGAAAGAATGGACATCGGCGTCGTCTGAGGAAATATTACAGCTGGCGCAGCTGCGGTAGGAGCCGGAGCCGCTGCTGGAGCTGGTTTTGGCTGTTTTTGAGTATCAAGAGGTGGGCCTGGTTGGGCTTTGGGCTTTACCTCGGCCTCGGGCTTTTTCTCTTGCTCTTTGGGCTTTGGTGGTTGCACAATTTCTATGCTCTTGATTGTACCACCCCCTTGACAACAAATATTGTCTCTTACTTTCTCAGGGCTACAACACACTACTCTTATAGTTACGATTCCATTCTTCTCATCATATAATTGATCTCGAATTTCTTTCATTCATCAAATTTGCAACAACAACAAAAAAAAAACATTATTAACTTAAGAAATTTTGAAAATAAATATTATTTAGAAGAAAAAGAAGAAATATTATTGAAAAACTCACGTGAGTATTTGCAAAGGACCTTCTTGACTTTCTTACAACATTTTCTACAATGAAGATCAACCTTGAGCTTCATTATGACAACCTGCATGAGTTTAAGAAAGTTGTTTAATTGAAACTCGAGCAATTGTTACGTTAAACCAACTCAGTAATAGATATGCAGAGACATTGAATATTAAAGTAAATATTGTTACTTACCTTTTGCTCCATGGCTTGGAGATAGAGAGCTTAGATCTAAAATGTGCTTGCTCAGATGATAAGAATGAAGATGATCAAAAAAGATAATAAGAACGAAAAAAGAGAGAAAGTGGTTAAGATAATGACAAATGTAATATGGAACAGAGATAGAGAGCATACGCTTGAATATTAAGATAGGTGGATGATATTGCATCGCACTCACTAATCCTTACAACCAATTATATGCAAGTTGTAATGTCCAGATGTTCAATTCATTTATCTCGTTCATAAAATTCATTAAATTGGTTGATATTTTATTATAATCATTGTCTTTTTGTTCTACTAGCAATTTTTTTAACTAGCCAAGTCCACAAATTTTTAGTTTTTTTAAATAATATTACTATTAAGTTCCTCCATAATTTGTGTTTAGTTAAGCTCTATTTTCATAATCTTTCACAAATTAGTTCAATTAAACTTTTTTTTTATTTTGATTTCTAAACTCAAAAAACATGATAAAAACCTCACAATTAAAAAATTACAACGTATCTCCTTCAAATTCTTCTAATTTACCAACTTCACTAAATCTCACTTTTTAAATCATTTCATATATCATATCCATCATGAATCCTCACATAGTTTATTAAAAATTGTATAATATATAAGGAAGGAATTTTAGTTTAATAAATAGAGTGGCAGTCTGGTGTAAGTCACTTGTGATTGGAAATGATTTCAAAAAGGTTCATTTTAAAATAACTGCAACAAGAGGAGAGAAACAGAAATGATTCGTAATAAAGGAATATGGATCTTGCTGACATGTGCTTTTAGAATGCTATGAAATCCAAAAGTAAAATTTTTATAGAGAATAAATAACAACTATTGAATTTTTAAGCAATTGCATCTTTTATTTCAAGATAACATTTCTAAAGAGTTCTTTAGACACATGTTCACATTTGTCAAGTGGTACAATATATGTCTTCAAAATAAATAAAAATATTTCAATATAATACTTTTGTTTTTTGTCTTGATTTTTTATTTGGTTTTTCATGAGCAGGGTATTTGGTTATTCATGAGCAGGGATGCATAGACAATGCAGGAAGGTAAAGACAGCTAAGAATGCAAGTTAGTAATAAAAGTGGCCTTAATTATAATACAACAACATCCAAGCTTTTTCTCACTAATTAGGATCGGCGGGATCAACATACATTGATCAAATTCTCTCATAATGTTTTATTAATTATCATATTTATATCCAAATCATTAATCTTAATATATTTCTTAATAACTTCACTTATATTTTATCTAAGTCTTCGTCTACCTTTAGTTGTTTGACTCCTTCATTTGATGTACTTTCTTTACCACATAATCTACAAATCTTCTATCTACATGCCCTAATTATAATACCTCAAAAAAAAAAAAAGTGACTTATTGTTGTAGTATAATTTTAAGTGTTTCCAGTTCAAATGGATACATAACTTATTGATCATCAATCATATAATTACTGCAACTTGGAAGTAATATGAAAATGAAACTCAAAGATAAAAGCTAGATGAGCTTTTGTGATCCTTGAAGATCCATGAAACCAAAGTTGGAACTATTGTTCTAAAAGCATGGCAGAGAATCTCCTCTAAAGGCTAAGACACTTTTGAAGACAATGATTCAGGTAAAGAGGACATGATTTATATCACAGACAAGTGTTTTACTTCTAGAAAATGAAGAGAGTATAGAGAAAGAAAAGTTCAGACATTCAAGGAATATAATAGTAAGGAAATGACTTCCGCTGAGAAGTGTCGAATCATATAAATTCTAGTGCAGGAAGCCTAGAGACATGAAAGTTGGGTTTCATAGTCTCAAGAAGGCAAAGAGAAAGTCATATTCCACCAAGCCATATTCCACTAAGTGGAGTCGGCTCCATTGATCAACTTCCGCCATAGCATTCTATCTAGGATTATGCTTCTATCCACATCGTTAATCTCGAAGTCTTTCTTAATAACTTTTCTTATACTTTTTCTAGGTCTTCCTCTACCTTTAACTATTTATCTCCTCTACATTTGATCTACTCTCCTTACCACATAACCTACAAGTCTTCTACCTATATGTCCAAACCACCTAAATCGATATCCCCCCGTTTTTTCTACCAAAGGATCTACCCCAACACTCTCTAACAAACTGACAAGTTTTTCCTAGGACGCAGGTTTCTATTAAACTCTATAAACAAATATAAATACAGCTATGAGTCTCAAAACCCAGAACCCATTATTATCAGAACCTATTATTATCAGAATATGAGAATACATATATGCAATCAAAAAATTACATCTTTGTCACCATTACCAACCCAACCTTCAGAACTACAACATCTACATACACGAATTAAATGTTTCTGACTCAATGAACTTCGCCTAACATATAAAATGGGTTAACATAAGAGCAAAGCTAGGTAACAAACAAAATGACAGGGCAGAGAGCAAAAGATCACAATCATCACAAAAATGGTAATATTCCAAATCCAACCAGAAACACAATACAAGCCATTGGCTCAGCATCCAACATCAACCCATTTCAAGAAAACACCAATTATTTATTCAGTTAACCCATAACACAATAATACACACATTTAATTCTAAACTACCAAAAAAAAAGATTATCAGAATACAAAATCCAAATATTTTCAATTTTCCATAAACGTACAAAATCAACAACACCTCATCAAGCTCCAAATCAGTAACAATAACCAAACCATTGCCTATTTTTTGCTTCCACCAGCATTATTCCCTCCAGCATCCTGAGCTGCTTTCTTAGCCATCTTCTCCTGCAGAGCCTTTGCATCCCTGCTCATGAAAAAAACAACAAAAATTCAAGTTAATACGATCAAAACATTTAATAAATATTAAAAAAAAAATTGAAATTTTCAATATGTAATACGATCAACCTTTCTCTACGCTGCTCAGGGGTCAACCCATCACCCTTTCCTGGTTTTCCCTTAGAACCACCAACTCTAGATTGAGCCCTTTCACGATCTTTTTCTCTCTGGTTACCGCGTTCGATTAAGAGTTAAATCCAAACAATTTCAAATAAAGATTTAAATCACAAATAAATAAATAAAAATGGATTTTGGCAAAAGGGAACAAATAATTATTAAAAGAAAATTGAAAATTTTGAAATCCAGCACAAAATCAATATAAACCCTAAATTGACAAATTGGGGAAGAATTAGACGAAAATTAAAAGGATATGAGTCATGGTTGTTGATCGATTCTTGAAGAGCGAAACGAGATGAAGTCGATGAAAAACCCTAGAAAATTGGAAAAGGAAAAATGAGAAATAGAATTAACGAATAAAAGAGAAAAAGAAAAACGCAAAGTGAGAGGGGAAAGAGAGGTACCTGATTAACGAAGGAGAATGCAGCGAATGATGAAAATTTTGACAAAGTGGAGAAATTATATGGACTTGGAAGATTCGTTGCTAGCTTGGCAAACAAATCAATAGACTTAAAATAAAGTTTTTTATTTTATTTTTAGGTTTAGGATTTTTTTTTTTTTTTTTTTGAGTGGAAGGAGGGGGTAAAATTATTTTATATCGGCAAGTAAAGTTTAACTAGACAAAGTCACGATGGATATGGTCGTATTTGTGTTAAAATGATATATTGTTTTTAAGGTTGGTGAATTACTCTTCATCTAATAATAGAGTTTGTTCTTGATAATGGATGTAAATAAATATCTATGAGAATGAATAAAATGTTTTTCGTGTCAGGATTTAGGGACTTGTTTGGTTATCTCAATTCTCATTTTAGAAAACAAAAAACAGATTTTGTGTTCTTGAGAAAGAGAGAAAACGTGAGAGAGGAGAAAGAAGAGGAAAGTCTCATTTTGGTCCAAGTTCAAGTCTTGTGTGCTTCAATCTCTTGCTCCACTTTCATCCATTCTTGCGGTAGCAGCTTCGCCTTTATTTTATTTCTTTAAGGTGAGTCTCTTAGATAGGAAATTTGGGGTTTTATGGGAATGCCATGAATTGGGAATAAGGGTTTTGAGGTGATAATCCTTTATGCATGTTAGTTCTAAGTGTTGTATAACATGTATATATTCAGACTTTCGTGTTTGTATGACATGGGTACTTGGACTGGAGAGTAAAATTGGGAGTTTGGGACCCCAAAACAGAACTGTCCATGTTCTGGTTTTTTTGAAAATCGCAAGTTGCGCTTAGTGCGCCCTCCTCGGACTGGAAATTGTGTATTTTGCAGAGCGCGCCCTCCTGAAGCAGAATTTTTCTGCTAATTCCCCTTGTGCAGAGTTGTTCTGTTATTGGAACTGAATGCCTCTCTAACTTAATTTAAGATTTTCCAAGTGTGTTGTGGATTATGTAATACCGTGTATGATTACTTAATTTATTATGACATGAATATGTATGAGTATGTTGGAAACGCATTATAGACAGAATGTCATGATTTGATTATTTGTATATTTCCCGTTCGTTCCAAATGTGTTTGTCTGTGTGACTTGATGTGCATATGATTGCATGATATATGCTTGAATCGAAGTAGGCCTGACTAATAGATTATAAATCACGTATGACCACAACTAGTGGGATCTTTAGTTCGTACCGTTGCGATGTGCTTGTGTGGGTCTAAAAAGAAAGGGCATTCCACCAGCATTTAATTGCATTTGCATTCTCGATATGTCATACACACATGAGCTACCAAAGGCAGTGTGCAAGTGAGGGTCTAAATGGTAGAGTGTTTCCCACTTGGTCTCATCGGTATGCTTGGTATGGTGGGGTGGTGATGCCAAGTAGGCAATATTACTTCGATTTACTCGCCTCTAATAAGCTACAGCACTAAGCTTTTGCCCAGTGGGCTCGTGTTGTCAAGATGGCGTCTTTGTACCTAATGCTGGATATATTCTGATTGGCTCACACGTGCGTATGGACGATTGACGGAGCGGTGATGCCACATTGGCAATGTCACCGATGTAACTCGTCACGGATGGAAGTCCATCTAGGAATTGTCTGATTCATCCGGCAATGTGCTAGTAAGAGTCTCTTGATGTGGTGTACGGTAGTAACTCACTGAGGGTGTGAATGTGTAGTATATATAGCAAGTAAAATGTACTTTTGAATTCCTCATACATGGGTACGGGTATACATATTGGTTGTTTTTGGGTCGTGTGTCGGATATTTCTTCTTGTTACCTCGTCGGTTTGTTATGGGACTTCCAATGGTGGTTTTACCTCTGATGTGTACTTGCACCTAGATGTGAGGAAACCCCGAATTCACGGTGAATCTGTTTGATGTATGCACCCGGTAGAATTGAGTGAACCCTTAAGATAGGGAGACTCATTGAGATTTAGTAATCTCGTCCCATTCCAATTTTTTTAGGTTGTTCGAGGCAGGATCGTGGCAAGGGTAAGATGACTTAGCTTGTTGGCGATGTTTTCTGGCGATATTCATATGTTCTTTTGATCTTTATGTTTATGTACCTTTGCATCATGTATTAGTATTATTGAGATTTGTATCTTTTTGGCCATGACATTTTCGGCATTGTATTTGTACTAATACTTATGTCCATTTCCGCTGCTTATGTATGATTTTGGTGTACCTTTTTAAATACCATACGCATACATCCTAGGAAATGTATGTGTGCGGTGTTATAATAAATATGATATCCATGTTTATTTCATATCCGTGCAAATATCCGTTAAACGGATAATTCATGAATTTTAAGGTATCCGCGGATATTTACAAATATTCATAAATAATAATATTTTTTCTAAAATTATATTTTGAAAAAATATATTTTTCACTTTCTTTTAAAGACACAAGACGTTATTATCACATCACAATAAGATTTGTACGGAATATAAAGGTTTTCTTCAAAGAAAACTTCAAAAAACAATTATATGAGAAAACTAGGATCCATGAAATAATGACCTAGTTTTATACTTCAAATATTTTTCTAAACAAAAACAACAAAAATATTTTCTTAAATGCTTAGAATTTTTTAGGGTTTTTACATCTTTCCCTTCTCAATCTCCGCGCATTTATCTATTTTTTTGCCTTATTATCATTATGTAACTGTCAATAGTATGTAATAGATAAATTAGGACTTCTTTACATTTTCCCCATTTTAAGGTTTGTAATTCCCCATCTCCAAAGCATTATAATATCGTAGATTCAATTCCCCGCATTTTACTTTGTGCACTTGTATATATTTAACTACTAGCTTAATAGGATTGCATGAAAAGTGTTAAAACCAAACGTTAAAAAACATAATCTCAAGACAAATACTTGAAATCAAAATACTTCTCACACGCGCACCTCTAGGGTGACTCTCACTTGTTGCCTAGGATTTAAAACAGTCACGTCTCTCGAACGTGGGATGCTTTAGTAAAGATCCTTTGGTTAAAAGATTGTAGTTCCTCGATGATCCTTCAATGTTGCCTCGGTAAACGATCTTAGTATCTTATGATAATTGCTAAAGTATCCTACGAGTTGCCTTCGTGACTGTACGATGACCCACGCTTATCCCTCAAACATCTAATGATAGGGCTACATACTAACTAATGGTAGGATAATACTATCTAAAGGAAAGGAGGAAAAAAATAAAGACTTTTTGAGTAGGTAGATAGCTCGTAGTCGCTTGCTCACAAACAAAATAGTTTCTCACACATACACTCTCTTTTCTAAAATATTTTCAAAGACAAACACTTTGTATGCATTCTCAACGATACGAGAATCATTACAAAGTTTGTCGAACTTAGGCATTTTTTTAAAAATATTTTTCAAGCACAAAAACACAAAGCATTTTCAAAAAAGTGTGCTAGCGATTAAGAGCCCGTAGATAACTACGGATGAAAAGGATGCTAACACCTTTCAATCTCTATTCAAATAGTCGCAACCAAAAGCTATACCACGTAACTTACGAGGTAGACATACTCCGAACTCCATATCCACGCGAGTCGAGGAGCAACTGAAATGTTCTCCATGAAACAAATTCAAATCTCTGCTCGAGAGGCCACACATAAAAATGACCCCGTCCTTCGATGCGGTGAAAACCCCCGACTAAACTGTGCTCGACATACAGAGAAGTTATTCTTAAGTCATAACTCCTTTTTCGTCAGGAGCAACGACTTAGGGGACTCCTGTTCTGGACCGGGCCTGCCCTTGGCCCAAATATCATACAAGGCTCAATCCAACTATGTCGCCTAAGAAGGCCAGTAGGAAAGAGTTTGCCCTCGGCCATGTCGATCAGTGAGTCCACTCTTCTGGTCGACCAGACTTTGTCCTACGGGGATAAATCCATAAATGTCGAGGAGGATCGATGACGGTCAGAAGGACCTTACGAACATCCTCCACTCTTCTCGTCGACCAAGACAAGTCCTCCAGAGACAACCTCACAACTAACGAATAGGACTGGCGACGGTCAGAAGGACCTCGCGAGCATCCTCCTCGTAGGGCTGGCATTTATTGCCTCCGAATGTCATAATGTCTTCCTAACCCCGAAAAGACCACATCCATATCCTTCTGATAGTTCGGAGGAATCCATCCAGGTTGAGGACCACGTGTTGGTCCCCAGTACGCACGTAGGACCTGACAGTTTTCATTTTGGACCTGCTTGCTCAACCTAACAATGGGGACCTTGGCCCAATATTGGGGGCTATAAATACCATCTCACTTGAGAAGCTCATGTATTCATTCTTTCACTCACATTCTCATACTTGTCTGCACTTGCTCTGAACCTCACTTTGGCATCAGAGTGTCTTGCAAATATTCTCCCACTTCACATTCAACTGTTGCTCGACTTGAAGCTTGTGAGCTTTGACAATCTCTTCTGATCAGGTACGATCAAATACTATTAACCATATTCTGGCACTAATTTTTAAATGTATTAACTAATTTTTACACTTTATTAACCTTTATTTTATTATTTAATTTTTTTTTTTAAATTATTAACCAAGTTATAAATAGTATTAACTAATTTTACACATAATATTAGGGGTGTTCAAATCCAAACCAATCCAAATAAAAAGTCGAAAGTCGATCCAAAAAATCGAAAATCGTAAAAAATTGAAATTTATTGGATGTGTTTGGATGTCATTTATGAAAATCGATCGGTTCAGATCGAATTTCGGATGAATTTTTCAAAACCGAACCAAACCGCATACATTATTTTTATACTTATTTACTTTTTTATTAGTATGATATGTTATATGAAATTGTGAATTTATTATTAGATGATAATAATTTTTTTTAATAATCTATTTATTTTTATTATTTCAACCATAATCGATCACTCTTATTTTGTAATATTAACTTTTAATATACTATATGTTATATATTATATCAAATCTATGATTTATTAGTAGTTTTATAATATTAATAAAAATATAATGTGTAATTTGGATATTCAAAGGCTGATCCAAATTAAATCGCATAAAATTGGATCGGATCATATTGAATTTTTTTTAATATATCATTCAAAACCGAACCGCAAATAAATTTATCTTTAAATCAGATGAACTTTTAATTTAAAATCGATTCAAACCGAACCGCGAATACCCTATATAATATCAACTAAAGTCTACATTGCATATTCATATTAATTAATTAAATTGTTTATGTTAGAATATATATTAATTAAATTTTAAACTATATTAATCAAATTTTAATATTTTATTCATCAAATTTTTTTTAGAAAAAATACATTAGAAAGTTAAAATAATACGAGAACACTATTGTTGTCAAAATAGCCTTTTAAAAAAAAAACACATGACTATAATCCCTCCCTTTGGAAATCCTAATATATTCTATATATAGCTTCCTTTGAAAATCATGGAATTTTACACATTTGTATCTCTCTCCAAATTAATAGCCCTTTCATTTTCTCTGAAGAGACTTTTTTCCCCGGGAATAAAGTGCGTGCATTGAATGTCTTACGTTTTGCTTCCTCTTGTTCGGTAAAAAAATACCATGTTTTACAAACCAAGCTTTGTGCACCATGGAACCCTTTATGTAACTTTTAATCCTTAAAGCTATAGTTTAGATGTTGTAATTTGTGTCGGTGTTTTGAACATTGAAGGTAGCCAGAAGACAATGCTTTTATGACGAAATGTCAGCATCCGATAATCGACGAGAGAAGTTTACAGGCTTGACTCTTGACGACGTCTTGGCCAAAAGGAGATTAGACACTCCGGCAACTACACCTAACCAACCACCTCCATCCAACAGTCAAACCATATTCGACATTATCAGAGAAGACGATACCAACAGAAAAGACCGTAGGTACTAAGATCATCTTTTAGTAACACTTTAGTTTTAAGACCAAGTTGTTTTGTTCTTTCTTAAATTGTGTTGGTGATAACAATTTTTCTTTTATTGGAAGATCTTGGAAAGCCTTCAAGGACAAGCTTCGACTCAAGCGCGCTGGCTCCGCTTGGACATCATCAATTCATATTCCAACTTCAGATGTCCCTGTCCAAAATCCAAATAGTAGAAGTTTTTCTCAACTTGGGCGTCGCGACTCGGTTCGAGTACAAAGTCACCACAATTCAGACATGTCAGCCCAGCCCATGACTCACCAAGTGGACGACCTCGACCCATCGGAGGGCAACAATGCTCCGGCTGCTAAACCTCAGTTCACTCGCCGCAGCTCCACCCGTTTCTCAGCTGACTCTCCGGAAAATTCTCCTGGTCGGGGAAATCTCCGGCCACAACTGTCACGGGGAAATTCCACCAATTTATCGTCGGAGCCGTTTCACCGAGGACGTGTGGTGACTTTTCGGGACAGCTTTGATGAAGATGAGCCCGACGACAACAAGAACAAAGAAGCGTGGAGGACACTTTCAGCGAGGGAGGCAGTGGCAGCACAGGAAGCGGCAGAAGCTGCAGCAGCGGAAGATACAGAGGCTTCAGGAGGGCATCCAATGATGTCACTAATGGACTTACTGGAGGAGACTGATAGAGAGATGGGATTGGAAGGGTCAAGGTATGTATTGAGTGATGATGAAGACTTTGATGATGATGATGATGAAGATGATGAAGGTGAAGATGATGATCATAGAGGAGGTGCTATGGAAGGCACTTGTTGTGTTTGCATGGTGAAGCACAAGGGCGCTGCTTTCGCACCTTGTGGCCACAGTTTCTGCAGGATGTGTTCAAGGGAGCTTATGGTGGCTAAGGGAAATTGTCCACTATGCAATAATTTCATTTCAGAGGTTCTTGAGATATTCTGATTTTTTTGTTTGTTTTTGTTTTCATGTTCTGGGGATCTCTTTTGTTTGAGCTGCACCAGTGAAGCTCTGAGATAGTGAAACAAAAGAGATTGTATACATCATCACTATTAGAGCTCCAACTAAATCAAATAGTTGAACTTGTGCTTCCAACAAAACATATTCAAGAAGAGCTTAGGCTATCATTCAAATGTTAAAAAGTTATACTTGTCTTTAGTATGCAAATAATGAGTGCATATGCGTAAGCTACAAGATAAAGTGAGGCTGCATTAATGTATCTGCACATTTTTCATTCTCATTTTGATCAATATACCGAAGTGATAGGAACGGAAATTTAGAGGTAACAAAGTGTATGATTAATAGCAAATGGTTGAGCTTAAAACCCTTACAATGGTGGAAATGCAGAAAGAAAATGGTAAACCAGAGTTACTAGAACTCGCTAATGCTCCTAACGAGAGAACTTCTTCTAACAAACTACCTAACAACATTTCTGAATGAATTACACATTACCCTTCCCTCTTTTTTACAACAGAAAATTCCCTTAAATTCAGGAAATATCCAACTAGCTATTTTTCCTACAGCTTCTACAACCTTCAAGAATCTTTGCTTGTAAGATTGGGGCCGATGATTGGGTCATCGCATGTATTGGAAACTAGCAATTAGCACTTTTAAGTCTCCTTCCAGGGATGTTTACATTTACCTATTTAACTTTAGTGACATTTTCATCAATGACTGCAAATGTACTATTCACGTTTCTTAAAATGAAGCAACACAATTATAATATGCCCTCTGACCAACAGGACATATATCAGGCTGTCTTACTATGTAAATTTGATCTCCAACTTCCTTTAAAGAGTCCTGATTGCGATACCAAGTCCACAAAGCCCATGTTTCATTTTTTACCTGCGTATAACACATTAAAACACTGTCAGATATGAGTAAGAGATGAGTTCCTATGCATGTTCATTCAATTAAAGGTTCTATAAGCTAAATGCTCAAATGACCTTGAGGTTATATTTCAAAAATCAAAATTAGATTTTGCAACTATTTAAGAGGCAGGAGTGCCTTTGCTCAACTGTTTTCCAGGTAATGTAACTTTTCTACTACCATGCTATGTTGTATTGCACAAGGGGTTTGGCTCTTAGGGAATGGTACCTCAAAAATTCCATAGCCAAAGCTACTTTCTCTGAAAGCACTGTAATCTGCCTGGCGATCCCAACAAAACTTGCCTGCTGCAGGGCCAGATGTAAAATTTGTTGCACAAAAGCCACCCATGTAAGAGCCAGGAGTAGTTGATGGATCAGGACAATTTCCATGCTCGTCTACAAATGGAATTGACATCTTCTCTCGGTTACCTCCATCCCCAACAGCAATATGTACAGGACCACACGGATCTAATTTATAATTATAAACCCGGTTGGATCTCTCATAAGCATGAACCTGGTGATCATTTTAAGAAAAAATAGAAAAGTACAGGCTTAGTCATAAATCATATAAATATTTGAATACCAGTGCCTATATGCTTTATTGCTAACCTCTTTATAACATGCTTGAAGTGAACATAAGTGAGAAGCAATTCAGTCGAAATTAATCATTAAACCCGAATTAACTAAAATAAATGTACTAATCAGCTTCAGAAAAAATAAAATTTCTCTTCACCATTAGTATAAAACTTTTCTTTTTCAATTTTTTTTCATGGTTATGCTTACAATAGTTCATTATCTGTAAGATAACAAACTTAAGTGGATTGTAATCCTTTAATTTATTAGGTTTAGGATAACTCACATGTCCATTGAATACTATATCCACGCTATACGAGTATAGCAGCTCCTCCATCTCCACTCGCATACACTCCGCTTCTCTGTAATGAGCTACATAAGTGCTGTACCATGGTGGATGCCAGGTAGCTACAAGCCAGGGAGTCGTTGATCTATCAACATTAGCCAGATCTCTCTCCAGCCACCTGTATTGTTCACCTGCCAAGGTGATAAGCTTCTCATATAACACGGCAGGGAAATGGAAAATATTATAAATTCAATGATTTTGTATCCTTTGGGTTATTACTTAAAAGTGAATGCAACAGTTAGGAGATATTATCAAAGGCAGCTGGAATACTTGGGGTTGCAGGAAAGAACTTCTGCAGATCCAAAGAAGATTAAGGATATGATAAATTGGTCTACCTCGGTGGATATAAAGGATTGACAAGTTCTTGGGGATAACAATTTATTAACGGAATTTTATGCAGAATTATGGGAAAAATGCCTGACCTCTTACACGACAGTTAAGAACGACAATTATAAACAGGAAAGGGAAGCTCAAGATTCCTTGGAGTAGCTTAAAACTGAAATACCAACAACTCAGGTGTTGCAGTTCCAATTTTTGAAAAAACTTTGATATAGATGATTAGGAAAAGGGGTAGGGTCAGTATTAATGCAAGAAGAAAGACCTATTGGTTACATGAGCCAAACATTATCTAAGAGGGCCACAAATCAATCTATGAGAAAGAGTTGATCTTTTATTGTTTTTACGTTTCCTATCTTGTATTCCAGAATATAAATCCTGCTATCACTGAGATACAGGCCAGAGTATTTCCATAAATACAGTCAACTCCAATATTCTATTTTTCATTTGTTTCATCTGCTATCCATTAGTGGACAATAGCCAAAAAATCAAAGCAAGAAAATTCATTTTCTACTTTTAATTTCTTTTCCCTCTGGCCTATCTTTCAAACGAAGGATACAAAATCATTGCCAACAAAAACAATACCTAGAAGTAATAACCCAAAATAAATCAATGTAAGGCATATAACTGAATAGTGAATAAGGGCAAAACAGGAAAATACCTGTTTTATCATAGTCAATATAAGCGCCAAGCATAATAAAATGAACGCCACCAGCATTGAAAGAGTAGTAGAATGTGGATGGCGATCCACTTTCTTCAGAGGGGAACGCAAACCTGGAACTGTAAGCCACAAATGTCTTGTTTTCAGCCTGTAATTCAATTTCGTGATTTCCTTCTACCACCATTATTGGAACTCTAGACACTAGACTCTGCATGAACCTGGAAACGTTCAGTTATGGAAAGCATAAGAAGATGCAATATAGAAACTATTAGTTAAGTTATCATATCATGGTACTTTTTCATCATCTACAAACTATTAGTTAAGATATATAATTTTTCAGGTACCTTCCCCAATAATCCCATCGAGGCTGGTAGGTTTCATGTATAGGAGTGTCTGAAAATGAGCAACTATAACAGTCTGAGCCTGTTCCATTTGTGAGGTACAGATTTGCATAGCTTACATCACCAATCAATAGGATAAGATCAGGTTCGTTACTAGTCATATGACTGATGGTAGTAGTCGTGTTATACGTGAGACCAAGATCTCCTACTATAGCAATTCTTCCTGGGTAACTCTGTGGACCAGAAATTGGCATGGTTCTGAAATAGTATATATCACTCATAGCATGTAATGAGGGATCTCCACATTGATAATAGTATAGTGTGCTTGGTTCCAGTCCTACAGATACAATGTAGACTAGTTATAAACCAGTAACATGAAAGTTTCATACAATTACAACTAGCTTCTTAAGGTGAAATCAGTTGCATGGAGCATTCTGAATCTCTGGGCTCATCTATCTAACATCTAGAAAAGAAACTGAATAGATAATAAAATCTCCTATGATTTTCTCTGATTAAGACACACATTATAATCTGAATGCTAGAGGTGAGTAGGTACTCCTCACACCTGTGGATTTTTCTAAAATAAATGGTGTACTTTAGATGTGTGTGATTAACCCAAACTACGAAACTGTTAAGATCTCATCATTGATTGAAAATTTTAACTGCGGTATTAACCTTCTATAGTGCACCCCTCACTTTAGACAAGTAAAATGCTGTGCTTCTCTAATCCAAAAGTAAACTAGCCAAAAAAATCAGAAAACCTAAAACAGAATAATAGAAACAGTTATTTGTGTTACTTTCTTCCATTCATCTTTAACTAGGAAACAGAAAAGCATTGTTCACCTGTAAGTCGAACATGATGAATGATTCCAGAAGTGTAATTCTGAAGGCCTTCAAAAGGATAAAGCTGGTTGTAGATGAGCGACTGGCCCTCTGCTTCATTCCCTAATTCAAATCTTGAAGTTCCATAACGAACAACACTTGCAACGGTATTGGGATCTAACGGCTTGATGTTGTAACCAATTTGAAATTCCCCTAATATTATCATAATTTCGCATCATCAACAACGTAACATGAACAAAACCATTCCATTAAAGATAAAGATAAAAATAAAAATAAAATTCATGTTAATTAATGTTCAAATCATCAACTACATCCATCAACAAAAGCTAATACAGAGCAGAAACTAAGCAAATACAGTCAGGGTTTTAAAAAATGGTCCGCGAGAGTGAAAACGGCCACAACAAGACGGTTTTGGAAGGTGTCGATCCGATACAGTTATCATCACTTTTATATTAAAGAACAAATTGTGATTGTGATTAATTCAACCAGGACGAACGCAATCAATATTGCAACACCTGTACCAACCCACAGCAACCGTTTTTTAACACCTTGAATATACTATTTTATTTTAACAAGTAGTTACTATTTTTCACTATCTTTATTGAATTATTTAAAGTATCAATAATCTTTCTACGCGCAGATGCACGAGTTTTTAACTGGTAACTGTTTTTCTTATTTTAACTTTTTTCCATTGAATAATTATTAAAAACTTATCAAATTAAGAACGTAAACGCATTAAAAGAGGTCCACCACCAACGTTATGACTACAACGACGTAATTTGATTAACCGTAATCTTGAAAAATCTATCTAGAAAACTTCGCTAAAAGAATCTACAATAATCAATTTACGATTTACTATAATCTGCTTAAAATCATAACGGAACTCTCACCGGAAACTCTAAACGAGATAAATACCGTTTGAGGAGTTACTCGTACGTACCAGTAATCCACGAAACCCAAACGGAGTCATGAGTGGAGGAAAGCGACAGCGATATCTGCTCCGGCTCGAATCCGACGACTTGCCGTCGCACACGAGGATCGGTGTCCGGTAAGTCGGAGGTGTTGCCGCGCGTGGAGACGTCGAACGGAACGGTTACGGGGAGAAATGGACCTTCGAGAGTGGTTGGAATGTGGCAGTTACTGAGAGAGAGAAAGAGAGAAAGTAGAATGAAAGATCGTTGGAACGAGACAAGTGACTTCATTTTTGGAAAATGAAAATCCGCAGCATCAAGTTTTCGGTTTGTTTATTTATAGTGCGGAATAAAGAGTGGATATTCCGCGTGTGTAGGAGCGAGAAAAAATAGTTAAGTGCGTAACAGAAAGAATATTAAGTTAGTGGTAATTGGCGTTTCTTGAAGTTGTTACTGACCAGTCATATCATTTTCCGCTAGAGCGCCACGTCACCAAAAAACTATATATAATGGATGAAATTAATTTCTTAGAAACTAAACTTTATAAGAGAGTAGTGTTTTATAAACAAAAAATATTTTTATTTAATTCTATATCCTAAATCCACATTTCGAGGAGAATGAATTTACTGGGATTATTTAAAAAAAAATAAAGTGGAACTTTCGTAAAATGTGGATCCAATGATAGAGCATGTGAAGCTAAGAATAAGAGAAGAGTGTATGGGTTGCTTGTGGAGTGAGTCTCTTTTGATAGTCTGTTATTATTCTTGGCAACTCTTGAGCGAGAATAGTAGAGTTGATGTAATGATATAGAAACTAGATTGGATAGTTAATAGTTGTAATCTTATTTAAGATAGTGGAACAATTTGTAAGGTTGTTATGGTAGTTATGAAAGTATTAGAAATTAGTTATGAAAATGAGTTATGAAAGGTAGTTAGTTATGGCTGTTATGATAGTTATGTATTGTAACTAACCTTAAGATAGATAATGCAACTATCTAGAGTATTGTTCATACATAGATTTATTGTTCGGGTTAGAAAAGATAAAAGACAAGACATGATTGAAAGACTGAGAAAAGCAAGTAGACAATTAACCGATTACCATCCTGAGTCGAGATCATGAGGCCTAAACCGGGTTATAGGATCAGAGGATCATGTAATCGGCCATGGAAGAAGATGAAGAGACAACAATCGGACTCATACCCTAGATCCAGAGGTTACCCTAAGCCCGACCTTAATGGAGCCGTTACGCAATGGCTGGTCCATTGAGGGCGTAATCGCTCATCATTATACAACGCACACGTTATGATAATAGCCATCTGTGATCGGTGGATCTGGAACTGACTGTTTAACGCTGGTTCGCGAAATGTCGCGGAAGCAAGAGTCGCCACCGTCTTTTATTTTCTCTAAATGGAAAGGACAAAAGCACAGAAAAATTCCTTAAAGAGATTGCTCTCGGTTCGGGAGGTAGGTTGTAGAAAGGGAAGGTGTTAGCACCCTTTCTATCCATGGTTATCCATGGGCTCTTAGATACTTGCTCACTTGTGTTTTCAAAATTGTTTGTTTGCTTTTCAATTGTGGGTTTTAAAAAAAGTTTCTTTGAAAATTCCAGTTCGACTCTTGTATCGGTCCTCAAGAGTGTTTGAAAAATTGCTTTCGAAAGTCAGTGTGAAAAGTCTTTTTGAATTTGTTTTGAGATTAGAGCAAGTATCTACGAGAACCTACCTACCCTAAGGAATTCGTCTGTGTAGATGTCCTTAAAGTAGTGCCATCCCACCATTGAGAGGTAGGTAGCACCACCGTTGGAGGTGTTCGGGTCAATTCGAGGTTCGGGACATGGTGATCACCAGAGCAATGGGAAGACACCTTAGAAGCTACCCTCATGCCAGGTTCCCGGATCATGAGGACTTACTAAGACATCCTCTACTCGACGATCACCTTTCGAGGCAAGGCAACAGTGAGGCGTACCCTAGGGGTGGTGTGTGCGATTTGTGTGTCAGATTCATTGCATTTATCTTGTTCATGTTATTGGTGTGCTAGGCTTATTTTTATTTTGTCCATACATTCTTTCATGCTTTTGATTAATAGTAAAAAAAAAGATGCGGAAAAGTAAATTCTAAACTATTACAAACGGCGCGGGTCCACATCGCCAAAATTAACCAGGACCCGATTTGACAGAAAATAAATAAAGTAAAAGAAAATAAAAGAATTAAAAAGTGCGAGAAATTATTTACAAGGCTTTGGGAGAGATACATGAATATTTAAACGGAATAAAATAATATGCGAATTAATAATTAAATCGAAACGAGGGCGTTGGACCCTTTTTGCAAAATATTAAAATTGCATGAATTAATTAATTTAAGAAAAGAAATTGTTTTTGTTTTTTTGGTATTTTTATGTATTTTAAGATTTAATAAAAAAAAGAATTAATTAAAACTAAAATAAGATGCAAACCCTAATTCTAGTGGCTTTTAATTTATTGAGAAAAATATTGAAGTTTTTAACCTAAATTAAACCCTAATTAATTTACAATTTTAATTATGAAAATAAAATATTTAATTATTTGATATATTTAGGAAAGAAAAATAAAAAAGGATGAAAAATTATTAATTAAACCTATTTCTACATTTTTTAGATTTTTTATTAAAAGAATTAAAATTGCAAACCTAATTTAAAACTAAATTCAATTACATGCAAATTTATTTAAGAAAATACTAAAATAAAAATTATTTATTGTTTTAATCCCTTTCTGATTTTTATGATATTTTATATTTATGAGAATAATTAATTAACTAAACAAATAATAATTAAAAGGAATAAAAAATAATAATACAAAAAAGGTAAAGAAAATAAAAAAAAAATGTGCAAACCTGGGGGTTCAGACCCCAATATGGAGGTTTGGCCTTAGTAATTCAGGCCCAATGACCTTGCTGGCCCTTTTGACTTTTCAGGGAGTATGCTGGCGCGTTGACCAGAGTTTATGGTGTTCCCCAATTCTGAGCCTTTGATTTGATTCCAATATGCACGTGGGCAATTTGATCTGGAGGGTGTATGGTGCGTCTTGATGTTGGCACTGCATGGGAACGTGGATTGCAAAATAATATGAGAAATAATACAGACCTGGGGCTCGAACCCAGGTCAGGACTGTTGCTACCACTATGCCTTGCCACTGAACCAATTGTTGCGCTTTGTATGTAAAATAAACGAAGAATAATATAATAAGAAACAATGGTTAGTGGTTCAAAAACGCGCGAAATTTAAAAGAGCCAATGGTTGCTGGCCACGAGTTCGTCTTCTTCATTGTATTATCTTTTCCTGAAATAAAACAAACATAAGCAACGGTTTTTACACCGTTGCAGAAAGTATCTTTACAGAAAATAACGATTAGCACTAGGGCACTCATAAATTAGGCGCGATAGTTCCATTATCTTCATCCACATGCGCTGAGTTGAATGGTGGTGGTTAGGGGTTCCAATTTTTCCTTGTTACAAAACCCCTAATCTGAAGCTCTGCAAACCCTAAAAATCAATCATGGCATAATCGCGTGTAGCACATAAAAATGCAATTAAATATATTGGTTAGCTTCAGAATTTCATAAGGAACATGAATCAATGAATAAAATGTTATGAAAATGCATAGATTTGAAAACACGATTATGAATTTTTCATGAAATATTTGGAGTTCTGTATACCGATTCCTTGAGTTTTGATGAAGGTTTTTGATTGGAATACGTTCAGTGACGTTTGAGGAAGCTAATGAAACAAAAATTCTGCCTTGAATCGCCCTAGAAAGTGGTTTCCAGAATTGAGTCTCTTTGCAAAATTTTCAAGTTTGTTCTTCAAGTTTTTGAGCAGCTGCCTGTGTATGTTCATTAGGGTTGTGTTCCTGGCTTATGTATGAATCAATTAGGTTAAGAAAAACAAATCAAATCCCTTGCAATGATGGTTTTGAAGATTTGATTTTCCATCATTATTTTCCAAATATTTTCCATGTGCTTTTTGTTCAAATCATGATCAATCAGTCCAAATCTTTCCTTTTTTGGCTAGGCATGAATTATTGAGTATAAAATATGCACAAAAAGATTTGTTAGGTTAAGTTAAGTATTTTTCATATATTTAATTGATTTAAATGAATTATTATTAATAAAAATTCAAATAAATAAAATAAAAAATGAATAAAACTTCCCTTTGGGCCAAGTGGTCGTGCACATGTCATGGATGATGAATTATGGAAGAAAAATGGGCCCATTAGCATTTTTAGGTCATTTGAATCAATGTTGACTTTTCAAAATATCCAAAAATTTCCCAACTTCCACAAGGCATAACTTGCTCAATTTTTAAGCTTTTCTCATGTTCTTGGACATTTTGGAAAGGTCTTTGAGTCCTCTAACCAATGCCTTTGGTCCCATGTCATTTTGATTTACCAATCTCAAGTTATGGTCTTTGACTTAAAGTCCCTTTTTGTTGACTTTTGAAAATGACCTATAATGTTGAAATTGATAACTTTTTGGGAGAGCATTTCTTGGACTTGAAGTATGAAGATGAGTTGTAGGAAATGTCTTTCTCTTCAAAATGAGCTTTGGATGGAATTTTTCTGATAATCCATGTGAAAGTTATGCCCTGGTCAATTTACAGTTGACTTTTTCAACTGTCCAAATAAGGAAACTTTTGCATTTTGATGATTTTTGAGCCAAGCTTTGAGAATCATGATCAAGCATTGATCAAATGATGTTTGTGGCTTCAAAGTGATATGTTGACCAAAAATTTGAACTTTTGACTGTCAAATGACCATTTTGCCCCTGCAGTTGACTGTAGTGCAATTTAGGGTTTTGACTGTGCAACTTTGAGCTGAATGTCTTGAAACTTGATATGAGGATGCTTGACCATATTTGTAGGCATATGAGACTTGATTGGACCTTTGAAAACTTCAATCTCTTGATCAGAACACAAACCCTAATTTTGCCTGTTTAGGAGCCCTTTGCACTGTGCAACCCTTGGGGAATTTTGAAGCTTGACTTGGCATTTTCTTGAAGAATTATGGGAGGGCAAATTTTGGGGTACAACAGTTGCCCCTGTTCAATCTTCTTAGACCTGAGGATGCAGATTGGCTGACGTGCCTTTCGTAATCCGAAGGTAGAAGATGATTGGACACTAGAGTGCCCAGAAATTTGCGCTCACATAGTAGCAATGTGGTGGGAATGGGCTTATCGATGCCATTTAGAGGTTGATTAATAGGATGATGGGCTTATAGATGCCATCTGGATGTTGATCGCGTAAGAGATTCCTTAGCGAGAAC